AAAGTTTAGATTTTAATGGCCTCTTTTGAGATGGTGTAAAATGCAGTAGACAATGCCAGTGTTATTAGGGGGAGGCAGATCAATCAGATTGAGGCTTACATTTTATACAGAACCTTTTTAGAATGTGTAAATAGAAAATACATTATCAGATTTTCTTCTGAATATATGTTGTGATGCATAGGAGCCAACTCTTGGTCTACTGTACCTTGTATAGGAATTACTTTAATGAGAATGGGATAATGTACTCAGAAAGAACTCTTTTTATCTTGAAAAGGATTGGGTGTTCAATTAATCCACCAGCAAAATTGGGTTATTTTTAAGTCCTGAAGCCCTCCCCTTTTTCCTCCCAGTTTGTGATTAACTATTTTGCCCTTGTACCTCTCAATTTTAGAATGTTCTCCATCTTTTTTGCTTGATGAATGTGATCTGAAATGTTGCTTTATAATGTACTTAGGAGTTAAGAGCTTATTTTTAGCAGATTAAGTGTTGAAAATCACCCCTCCATCCCCCTTATTTGCTGGTGTGGTATTTGATCATACCCATGTAATTTATGCCTTATCAAATGTTTTTTTTTTGTGACATATGACAAAATAAAAGTTCAATATTATGCTGCCTTGAGATAGGGGGGAGGGGGATGATATTTTCTTATCACTTTTTATTGATTGTTAAGCTTAGAATAGAAACACTTGGATTCTAAACTAGTTGTCACTGCTTACTTGAACTGTTTTATGGTTTTGCATTTGTCTGAAAATTTACAGGTTTGTTTTAGTAACATTTTCTTTATATTATGCTTTTAAGAGCATATTTTAAAGGGTAAGCATGCAGCATAGAGCTCACTCATAACATTTATTTTGTATGTGTTTCCTTGTGCCATAAAATCATATTGATTTGTTTTTGTTCTCCTAATTCTCACTCAGGTAGGTGCACCAGTAATGTGTGACAAATGATAATGGTGAATACTGCTTAGGGAATGAAATAGAAGTTGCCGGGTTCAGAGCTGGAAAGTACCTCTGGTGCTTCTAGACTTTGAGATTATCCTACATGACATAAGGAAAAGAATTAGTCACTGCAAGCACTAGAAAAACAGCTCAAAACTACTAATGCTACTTTTCTATATACATAGAAAAGTAACAGTAGATATTACTAGCAGTAATCATAGGTAAAATTTACAGTAATGACAGTGGAGGATAGTAGTAAATTAATGCCCCCAGCTCCAGGTATGGGTAATTGACTTGTGGTAGAGTGTGCCTGTCAGGTAAACAGGACATAGACTTGTGGCATGGTGAAGTATCACCTGGTAGCACATACCCTTTGCTTAGTGGATTAAGTGGTATATTTTGGCATTATTTTTACCAAATACCACTAAAGGTATCATGGATAATTTTTAAAGCTGTTTTTGTAGTGGTTTTAGTAATCAGTTCCTTTCTTAACAGAGCTTATCTATTTTTAAGTGTAGGACAGTTTTAAAGTTTAAAAGTTCCAATAAAGTAAATCATCTTAGTGGATAGTTATAGAAATGAAATGCTGATACTTGAAATTTTTGTGTAATATAAGAGCCAGAGACAGAAAATAGAAATAAGAATAAATTGACTTTCACAAAAGAAATGGATTTTAGGGGTTCATGGATAGACTTTTTGTTTATTTTTTAAAATCAATTAATGGATGTGTTTGTGCCAGCTATAGCTATAAGAAAATATATACCAGAGAGAGAAAGAGTGTATGTGTGTGCGTGGGTGCGTGTCTGCGTGTCTGCGTGTCTGCGTGTATGTGTTTGTACATGCATGCATTTATGTGTAGGTGTGTATGGATGTCCATGCGTTTGTGAGCATTTTTTTGTGCGGATGTATGTGTGCAAGTATGTGTGAATATGTGGGCGTGTGTTTGTGCATATGTGCATATGTGCTTGTGTGTGTGCATGCATGTTCACGTGTGTGTGTGTGTATGTGTGTGTGTGCGCGTGCGTGCGTGCGTGGAGTGAGTGAGTGAGTGAGTGAGTTAGTTAGTTAGTTAGTTAGTTAGTTAGTTAGTTAGTTAGTTAGTGAATGAGAGGGAGTGTGAGTAGATCTGAAAATGTAATAAGCTTATTAAGGGTTCTGTCTGTAGAAAAATATTACTTACACACCTTCATGGAATTACATCATCATATCTGCAATAGTTCTTAGATATTGATCACACCCACTTCTGTTGTTAAACACTGTTTTTGCTATTCAATATCCACAATTGTACCTGCACTAATGAGCCTAATAACAGTTAGATATGCATATTTACAAATTTTTGGATCTTTATATGTATATATATATATATATATATATATATATATTATATATATATATGAATATATATATATATATATATATATATATATATATATATATATATATATATATATATATATATATATATATATGTATGTAAATATATATAAATATGTATAAATATATATGATTTTATATAAATATAAAATATGAATATATATATATATATATATATATATATATATATATATATATATATATATATATATATATATATGTATGTATGTATGTAAATATATATAAATATGTATAATATATATGATTTTATTTAAATATAGAATATGAATATAATATATATATATATATATATTATATATATATATATATATATATATATATATATATATATATATATATATATATATATATATATATATATATATATATATATAATATATATGCTAACAATATATCTAATCGACAGTTATACTAATATGGTGTGTTTTTTCATAATAACTAAGGATATTTCAGAATTGAACCAAGAAATATTCCTATAAAATTTTCTGTATGATATTGACTGTATTGCTTTTGAAACTGCTTAATGGTTGGCAAGTGCTTGCTTCACATAGTCCACATTAGAAATTCTTCTGTCTTCCAAGTGTTACAATAGAAATCTTTATTACAGTTGTGTTGTATTTGTGCTTACTAGGTGCCACATGTACAGTGTTATTTTTTTGTGTGTGTAACAGTTGTCAATATTTTTGTGTTTTCTTGGTTTGTCAGTATATGTACATGACCTTCATGCTGTGTGAGATAATAATTTTTCTTGCTGTGCGGAATCCATAAACACGCATTACATATACCATTATTTTCTACTTATTTTCAACTTTTATGTATATGATTTTTTTTTCTAATTGATGCAAGGAAATGATAGAAGAGAACTAACTTGTGTAGATATTATGGATATTATGATAAGGATATTTCTTAATATGGATGTTTATGTAATTTTCATTTTTTGTATGAAACCAACAAGCCTTTATATGTAACTTCTTGTAGATTGACATGATGCATTACATGCTGGGCGAGTAGTAGGGATGCAGAAGTAGTAATGTGTAATCAAAATTGCTTGTTAATTATTATCTGTAGGGGAAGCTTTATTTTCTTTTAATCTATAAATTGAATTTATGAAGTTCTGTTAATGTTAATAGCAAGACTGAAAGTGCTTTTTAGCGTTGTCCTTCATCTGTAATGGCATACTCATTGTTCTTTGTTTCCATGGCTATCTCCAGTGTATGTGGTGGAGCTCGAGACTCTTGGGAGGACTCCAAAAAAGGAGAGCAGGAGGTACTGGTCGTCCTCACCAAGAATGACCTAGACAAGGCCAACAAAGATACACATCACAAATTGTTACCAGAAGACTTTAGGGTAAGCTCATGTGTAACTTTTGGTTTGTGCATTATTTCCTTTGGATCCAACTCAGCTGTGTATAGTTCATTTGAAAGTTTTAAGAAAATGGAGAAGAGTTGCGTTCTGAAGTTTTGTTTTATTATTGTTATTATTATTATTATTTTTTTTTTTTTTTCACAAAGAGGGCCCAAATGCTTGTTACCAAGGAATCAATGACAAGGCCTGCCTGAGGGTACTTTTTTACTTCATTCATTAAATTTGTATGTAGAAAAGTTTCTTTCTATAATTATTATTATTATAAATGATTTGAATAATTATAAACTGTTATTATTATTATTGCCATTCATGTTACTCTTCATGATAACATGAAATTTATGCAATGATGAAAACCTGCTCCAGATGGATGTCAAAATAAAGCTGATGATAGAAGTTTTGTCTTTATAAAAAACTTTTCAAAGCATTCAAGGAATAGGGTATATGCTTTGCTTAGATATATTAATTTAGTAATTGACTTAGTAACTAATCACTTTTGGGACCATTTGTAAAAAGAAAAAAAAAAAAAAAGTAGATTATCCTAAAAATCATACTATGATCTTTGTATTTGTTGTATGGTCATAAAACTGAACTGGAATATTTTGTCTTTAAAATTAGCTTTTTATCAAATACATATCTTTCCTTACTTCAGATAAAACTATGGTGGCTGGTTACATACGTTAACAAAGGAGGAAGCAATGCCTTAGAGTCTCGGGAAAGTGGTTCGACTCCAAGCACAATCACGCCCTCTGGTTCCTCGTCCGACACAGACGACGATGATGATGACGACGAAGAAGAGGGAAGTGACTGGGACTCAGGTAGGATGATTTAATGTGCCCTTCTGTTTCTCTTCTCCTAACTTGTGAAGAATATGATTTAAATGCAAATAATTTTCATTAGCATTTTTGTGTATTTTGCCTATTTGAGGGTATATGTAATTAGGAATGTGAATGTTTGTATGTATGCTTGTATGGAATATATCTATCATGTATATATATATATATATATATATATATATATATATATATATATATATATATATATATATATATATATATATATATATATATATATATATATATATATATATATATATATATAATATATATATATATATATATATATATATATATATATATATATATATATATATATATATATATATATATAATATATATATATATATATATATATATATATATATATATATATACACACACACACACACACACACACACACCACACACACACACACACACACACACACACACACACACACACACACACACACACACACACACACACACACACACACACATTCATTTATTATATATATACACATATATATTTGTGCATATGCATATATATATGTGTGTGTGTGTGTGTATATATATATATATATATATATATATATATATATATATATATATATATATATATATATATATATATATATATATATATATATATATATATATATATATATACATACATATAATTTACGCACATGCACACACACACGCACACGCACATGCACACGCACACATGCACACACATACACACACATGCACGCACATGCATGGACATGCACACACACATGCACTCACATGCACACACGTGCACACACATGCACACGTGTGTGTGTGTGTCTGTACAGATATGTATGCATATACATAGATCTATATATGTATATATATATATATATATATATATATATATATATATATATATATATATATATATATATATATATATATTATATTATGAATTTATATTTATATATTCATACATATATTTATATATGTATATTTATATATGTATTTGCATTCATTTATATATAAAAAGTATATGTATTACATATAGTATATCCATACAAATATGCATACTAACATACATATATTTAAGTTTGTATGTGTGGGTGTGTATTTTATGTGATTGTGTCGATTCAGTAATACTTTTTTGTTGATTTGTCTCTTCAACTAATGATTTTATATTATGTACTAAGTGTGTCCAGGTTGTACTATACTTGGCTTTGCAGGCGCTTTTGCCGAAAAAAAAAAAAAAATGTAGTAAGAGGTAAATTGATACACAAACAAGGTTAACAGTGTGAAACGATGTATAATGGTATGATGTTTGATAAAAATGTAAAACAGGTGTGAGTTACCAATCAAGGCATAGGTGACTCACTATTTCATGAAATGATGAATATTCAGTGAGATTTGAAAGTATTTTATGATGAATTTTCTTTAGTGCATGCCTTGGACAGATAGGATTTTCTATGCAATTGAAATTTCAACATGTAAATGTAAATCTAAATAACATTTCTTTATTGTTGTTTGCTGTTGTTATTAAAAAGATTTATGTTTTCTATGTGGTTAGCAGCACTTTGTCGTATCATATTCTTATAAGTAAGATAACCATTTATACATGTTATTGTTAATTAAAAAAAAATTATGGTAACAAACCTTGCAGCATTCTTGAAGTTAAGTTAAAGTTTGTCAGGATCAGTCTCCTAATATGTCCCCTAACCTAAATTACTGACTCTCCCCTCTGTAAGTGTCTCAGGATAAAAGAAGTTACTGTATGTTCTCAAAAAAACTCTTGTAAACCTTGCTGAACTATATGTTTTGTCTTTATTTTCATTTATTTTCTCCTTTTAGAAGTAGCCTGTTTTTTCCCCTCACAAATTTGTCTTCGTGGTTTTGAATAATAAGAATGCCTTTGTCTCTTTTGTTTTAGCTAGCATTTTAGTGCCTGAATCTGTTACTGTATGCATCTTGTATATTTTTATCCTGTATGTGCTTGTCTGCTAGATTTAGGTCAATGTTGTCCTTTGTGATGCCAGCTTTGTTTTATACCTTCGGAATGTTTAAAACTAATAACTCATTCACTGGTTCTGTGTACTTCTAGACTTCCCCATTATCATTGAAAATTAAACTGCTCTAGCTTGCCACAAACTGGTTGCCAGGATGAGTGTCCCACTCCTTTTTTAGTCACTGGGAGTATATTGTCCATTTCATGAGTTTTTATGCATTGGCAACATGTATTTGATAACAAGAACAATATATCTGTGTGTGTGTGTGTGTGAGTGAGTGAGTGAGTGAGTGAGTGAGTGAGTGCGTGCGTGCGTGCGTGCGTGCGTGCGTGCGTGCGTGCGTGCGTGCGCGTGTGTGTGTGTGTGTGTGTGTGTGTGTGTGTGTGTGTGTGTGTGTGTGTGTGTGTGTGTGTGTGTGTGTGTGTGTGTGTGTGTGTGTGTGTGTGTGTGTGTGTGTGTGTGTGTGTGTGTGTGCATGGGTGTGTGTGCGTGCATGGGTGTGTGCGTGTGCGAGTGTGTTTGCGTGTGCGTGTACGTCTGCATGTGTGTATGTGTAAAGTTTGATAAATGCAATGAAGAAAATTAATTTTGCAATTCGAAATTTAGAATCTAGAAGTGTGTAAATTGAATGTGATTTTGAATTTGAATACAATTAGGAATTTTAATGCAAAATGAAATTTGAATGCAATTTGAAAAATAAAATTGTATGATACACTGCATGTCCAGATATTTCCAATAAAATGTATATTTTGATGCACCAACCATTGCTGTTTGTATAATCTTACTAAAATCCAGATAGTGTTTTGTAAAATTGGAACCATCTGATTGGATAATGTGAAAGAGGAATAAAAAAGCAGAATAGCACCTTTTAGGTGTCCAGCATCCAAAATTCAGGATGTTAATCCCAATAAGAGGCTATTACACACATGTCATCAAGAAAGTCCCGAAGAAAAAAACAATATTCTTAAAGTACAGAATCCCATAAAATGAGTGACTGAAATATGACCACAACCTTTTGCGGCTGCAAGTGATGCTTAGCTGATTGATTGTGTTGGAGATGCCCAAGTTTTGTTTTTTGACATTTCCTTGTTTTGTTTTGTCTTAAACAAGACTTCAGATTCATCATATTTTTTCACTTTTAAGGTGGTGAGGACCACTAAAAAAGGAAGAGAAGAAGAAAACAGCTTGACCAAAATATTTGCTTTAGCAGTATGTCTCTTGTCACTATTTGAAAGTAGCATTAAAGGGAAGGATACTTTGAATAACAGATGGAAATTTGTATAGATATACAGGTGTATATCTATACAAATGTCCCTCACATAAAAGTTTGTGTATATCTGGAAATTTTATACTTTTTTAAATTGAGAGTGAGAGAGTGAGTGAGTGAGTGTGAATGTGAGTGAGTGTGAATGTGAGAGAGTGTGAATGTGAGAGAGTGAATGTGAGATGTGTGAATGTGCGTGAATGAGTGAGTGAGAGAGTGAGAGTGTGAGAGTGTGAGAGTGTGAATGTGAGTAGGAATGTTAGTATGAGTGTGTGAGTGAGTGTGTGAGTGAGTGAGTGTGTGAGTGAGTGAGTGAGTGTGAGTGAGTGAGAGTGTGTGTGAGAGAGTGTGTGTGTGTGTGTGTGTGTGTGTGTGTGTGTGTGTGTGTGTGTGTGTGTGTGTGTGTGTGTGTGTGTGTGTGTGTGTGTGTGTGTGTGTGTTTGAGAGATTCAGATTTATTATTCTCCTTGTGAACTACTGTGAAAGCAAGTTTTCCGGTATCAGTGAATGAGTTAAGATATTCTTGTTTTACTTGTAGTCAGCATGTTGTATACATTTCTTTGGCTCTGCCATTTCCGTACCTAGACATATTCTTTTGTAGTTTGTTTTTATTTTCTTATGCATTACATTTTAGTTTTGTTTATTTGAAGCCATTTTATAAGAAGCATTGATTTTCAATGATTTACATGTCTATGTTTTGTCTTTTTTTACCTTTGTAATAAGATATTTTTTCAAAAGATTGTTTTTAAAGAGGTTTGTAGAATGATTCATTGTGTTACTGGAAATGCATTTGGTTTGAGTAATGCCTACTACTGCTTCTTATTTTTTAGTTATTTATTTTTTTAAAACAAGGACAAGTCTTTTACCAAATCAAAAGTAAGATAAGATTTCGTAGGTTATGATTATGGAGGTTTTGTGGTCTTGAAGTTATTCCACAATTATAACTCATAAAAGTTATAACCGTCTTGACTGTGAAGAAGTGATTTAAGAAATAGAGTAAGACTGGCTTCAATATGCTAATATTTACTTTTTAATGAAACTGAGGCATTGACTAATAAGTTAAAGATGAGACCAAAGCCACTGAAATAATCTTCTGAAAATGAGTTCAGCAAAAGTATTAAACATTAAATTGCTAAAAGTGTAGTGAGATGGAGTCTCTTCTCCCAACACCTTCCACACACAGTTCAGTAGATAAAGCCCTTGAAATGTATTTTATTCATATGTTCAGCGTTCATTTATTTGAATTACTTGCTGATAGCGGAACATTAGAAAAGTTATGATGAGGCTTCAGATTGGGAAGTCTCTTGCCTACACTTAATGTGAGCCAAAAAATCTGCAGGGTATATTGTTTTTTATGTTTATCTAATAAAGGATTTAACCCATTGGATCTGGATGAACTGACAATCATGTCATGAAAGAATTTGAATGAGGTCTAGTGAGACAGGAATATGCTATGATGAAAATTTCAATTGATGGCCAGGCTGGAAGGAATGACTTATCATAAGTGCACAAATGTCTTGAAGAAAGACAAGACTTAGTGGGAATATAGGAAGGGGCTGTTGCATTAATTCCATGGGTAAACCATAGTGGAATGCACCATTTGTGAGCCATGACTGGAAAAGTGCTGGCTCCAGTAAGGACACTATTTCCATGCTCAGGATCCTATTCCTGTCTGCTTTGATCAGCAGTGCAGGGTGTATTGCAGAAAATCGAACAGTATGAAAATACAAGAAGGGGCA